AACCTAACCTAACCCTAACCTAACCTAACCTAACCCTAACCTAACCCTAACCCTAACCCTAACCCTAACCCTAACCCTAACCCTAACCCTAACCCCTAGCGGTTGACCCTATAACGACTGGGGTTGACTGGGGTTTTCTAATTTGTACCCTCTACCCTAATGGGGGTCCTAATTTGTACCCTCTACCCTAATGGGGGTCCTAATTTGTACCCTCTACCCTAATGGGGGTCCTAATTTGTACCCTCTACCCTAATGGGGGTCCTAATTTGTACCCTCTACCCTAATGGGGGTCCTAATTTGTACCCTCTACCCTAATGGGGGTCCTAATTTGTACCCTCTACCCTAATGGGGGTCCTAATTTGTACCCTCTACCCTAATGGGGGTCCTAATTTGTACCCTCTACCCTAATGGGGGTCCTAATTTGTACTGTTCTCTCTTTTTGGGACACCCTACGGGTTGGGTTGGGTCTCTCTTTTAATCTTTTACCTCTTCTTTCCCTTTTCGTCTCTCTCCTTCTTCGGGCCACCCTACGGCTGCTACGCATCTTGCCTTGTCTTCTATCTCTGCTTACCCTATTCTACTCTTGCCTCCGCCGGCTTTTCCATACCACGGGCCCACCGCCCACCCTCTACTTACCCCTACTTTTTCTCTCTCTCTCCTTCTTTGGGCCACCCTACGGGTTGGTCGGGTTTCTCTCATCTATCTTTCTGTCCTCTTTTCCTCTCTCTCTCTCCTTCTTCGGGCCACCCTACGGGTTGGTCGGGTTTCTCTGTCTTTCCTTCCTCTTTTCTCTCTCTCCTTCTTTGGGCCACCCTACGGGTTATACGGGTTATACGGGTTTTTCTCATCTTTCTTTCCACTTTTCCTCTCTCTCTCTCCTTCTTCGGGCCACCCTACGGGTTGATCGGGTTTTTGATCTTTCTTCTTTTCCTTTTCTCCCTCTCTCTCTCTCTCTCTCTCTCTCTCTCTCTCTCTCTCTCTCTCTCTCTCTCTCCCTCTCTCTCTCTCTCTCTCTCTCTCTCTCTCTCTCCCTTTGGGACACCTTACGGGTTGCACGGGTTTTTCGTCTTTTTGTTTTTCTTTTCCTTTTCTTCTTCTGCTTTTTTCTCCCTGGGACACCACCCTACGGGTTGGCCGGGCATCTTGTCTTTTCTTCCATCATTTCTCTTACGATACCTGCAGGGTTGGGTGCATTTGATCTTTTCTTCTATCATCATCATTTCTCTTGCGATACCTGCAGGGTTGGGTAGATTTGACCTTTTCTTCTCTTTTAATTATTCCTCTCTCTCAAGATACCTGCAGGGCCTGTCTCAGCCCCAATTCCGGATTAGATCACACAGTTTGCTGCTCTGGATCCATCCTTCCTCTATCCTCATTCCTACCTTGCTCTTCCTCCTTAACCATTCCACTATCAACGTGCCGGTATCACCATTCTCATCCTCTCCCAGCTCGCCCTCACCCATCATCCAATCCCATACCTCGTCCCTCGAACTGAACAACAACCCTAACGCTACCGATCTCAGTTCCTCTCGTACCCGATGATCGCCCCCGATCTCTCCCTTCTGTCCACACCACCCTTCGTTCCACAACTTCTTCCATTTGATGTACCTCCCCTCTGCCAAACTCATGTCTTTGCCGTCTCTTTTGTACTGCTCACACAGCATGCATGGTCTCCAGCATTTGTTGCAACCCGACGACCCTTCCATCTTCGTCCTGGCCAGTTTCCCATCCATCTCTTCCATTTTCTCTACCAGTCCTAACGTCTTGACCAGTGGACAAGTCCTCCATGACGTGTGCCTGCGCTCCGTCTTGCCCGATCGTGCTGTGCAAACCGTGCAACAACCTCTGTACATCGATAGCTTTGCTTCGAACCCTTCTCTGCTGCTGATATCCGAGCACATCGGACGTTTCGACACTCGGGGGATCTGTCTGCTGTGTTCCAGTTCTTCCACGGCTGTAGCTCGGGCTTCCGGGGTCTCTTGTCGTTCTCCCACTTCTGTTTCTGTTGCTGCTGCTGCTGGTGCTGTCGCTCTAGCCGTGGTGGCGGTTGTTGTTGTTGTTGTAGCTTCCATGGTCCCGGCATCGATCATGATAAAGTCGTCTTCATCCATGTCCAGATCCTCGAATGATGAAGTATCATCATCATCCTTGTCCTCCTTCTCCTGACTCTCATCACCACCGCCATCATCAGATTGCCTCATCCTCTCCCCACTCTTGTAAACCAAAAATTCCTTCACCACCCACATCGAATTGCTCATCATCTCTCCCCATATCCGCCTGTCTCTGGCCTGGCCGCACCACGCTGCGTAAGCCTTCCACCCCTCCTTCTCCTCTTCCACCACTCGATTCGGTTCGAAGCCGGCTTTTCGGATGATGTTCCTCCCGATCGGATCTCGAACTGCTGTCATCAACACCGGTACTGCTATGCCGGGCCACTGGCATTTTCGTTTGGCGTCTTCCCTGGTGTTGCACATCCTCTGGTTGATGCCGCACTTCCTGCAAGCCTTGCTCGCCTTTGCGTATTTGATCTGCTTCCGGAATGTGTCAACATCGACAATTGTCGTTTCGTCGGCCTCGTCTGTCACCGTCAGCTCTCGACTCTCGCACTCCCGGCCACCGTGCTCCAGATGTGAGTCTTTCTCTTCTGACTTCATCCAACACATCGGACAGCCGAGCTTCATCTCGTCTAGAGCCTCTTCGACCATCTCCTTTTCCAGCTCGGACTGCCTGACCAGCTCTGTACCTGCTGCCACCATTCCACCACCACACCTGTCGCACGGAGCTTTGGGGGCGTGATGCTGGCGGCTGCCGCCATTACTACAGTTCGTCTCGCTCTCGGTCTCGCTGTTGTTGTTGTCGCTGCCGCTGCTGCTGCTGTCGTGACACTCCTGGATCGTTTCTGCCGCATCGAAGTACTTGCCTAGCACCAGCCTTCGACAACCCTCCGTCTTGATGTACTCCATCATCGCTGCTCCGTCCGGTCCGAGTGCCTCGTTGTAACGCTCCCGCGTCCCTTGCTCTTCTTCCTCCCACCCTTGCTCCAGCAGTACGATCGAGTCCACTCTCTCGTTGGGATCTCGACCCGCTCTGCCCGATGCTTGGGCGAACTCGATCAGTCCGTATGGCAGTCCCGAGTGGATGACCGCCTTGACGGCCTCGTAGTTGAGTCCGGTGCTGAGAGCTGTCGTCGACACGATGAAGCCGCCGTTCGCCTTCCACTGCTCTAGCGTTTCCCCGCCGTCGACGTGTCCGGCGTAGAAGAAGCCGCAGCCTAGCTTTTCCGCCATCTCCTCGCAGTCTTTCTTGCTTCGGCAGTAGACGACGGCCTTCTCTTTCCTGGTGCTCCGTAGCTCGTCGGCGACCTCTTCGCACACTCTGGCCGTCTCTTCGACCAGCTTGCCTTTGCCGATGTCCTGTCTGACGGTGTAAGTGATGTTCTCCCTCACCGTGCATGCTCGTATGAGCGACATCATTCCGATGCCGATACCTAGACTTCGTCGTAGCTCGACCTCCATGTACCTTGGGGTGTGGCCGTCAGCATCACCATCGGTACTCCTAGTGACTTGAGCTTCTCCAGCTCCACGAGATGCGGTCTCCAGCTGTGCGAAGTCACCAGCAAGTGGCACTCGTCCACCACCACTCGTCTCAGTCGGCCCTGCTCCGCCATCTGCCGTGCGTACGACCAGAAGTGATCGTGCATCTTGTCCACGCTGACGACCACGAGAGCTGCTGGATCGACGGTGCTGTGACTCCATTCTTCACAGTCACCCACCGTCTTTTGTGCTTCTCGCACCGTCTCGTCGATGAGCTTGCGGAACGGTACCACCACGATGGTCACCCCGACGTCTTCTTCCAGACAAGCGGGTGCGGTGAAGAGTAGAGTCTTGCCTCCGGCTGTCGGCAGAACGACGGTGAGAACGTTGAACCCACCGTCCATGATTCTCCCGAGCGCTTCTCCTTGTGCTTTCGATCTGTATCTGATCGTCACCGCGTCGTCGTCCATTGGTTTCTTGAGTGCTTTGCGTATAGCCCTCTCCTTTTCCTGTGCCGTCGGTCTTCTGTAGCGTTGCAGCCTCTCGCGCCTTCTTCGGCTTCGTTCGATGATCGGACTGTCGTCTACGTGCTGCTGCAGATGCTGTTGGTGGTTCCTGCCGCTGCACCTTGAGAGTACCTGGATTCGTCGTGGTGGTTGTCATCATTATCGTCATCGTCGATGTAGATGACTTCGTTGCTGTCGTTCTTGTCGTTGGCATCATCGTTGTGTGAGTCGTGCCTGTTTCCCTCTGTCACCGGGGTCGGCATTCCGTTGTTGTTGTTGTTCGAGTAGATGCCCAAGCCAACGATGGGGGTCATGGGTTGCTGTCGTCCCTGCTGCAGCTCCTCTCCTCGAAGTCTTGTCAGTTCGAATTCTTGTGCCTTGAGCTTCATCCGCAAGTCTTCGATCTCCTTCTGCTGCCTTTCGGATTGTTGTAAGAACGGTGAGAGATCTACTGTCGTCGGAGTGGCGGCAACAGTAACAGCTCCTCCTTTTGCCGCGGGCAGTCTCTTGATCAATCTCTCTTTCCTCAATCCTTCAAAGTCGACGGTTTGCATCCCATCGTCTTTGTTGCTGCTGCTCTCGGCCTTTCTTTTCCTCTTCGGATCTCTGTGGTCGAGCTCGAAAAACCTGTGCCAGCTTTCGCTGAGATCGCCGAAGATGTCGATCGACTCTTGGTTGAGATACTTCAAGATGTCCGCTCTGACCGCGTATCTGCCGGCTCCGGTGCCGAAGCCGCCGGCTTTCTGTAGCTCGATCGCGTTGCCCTCCTCGAGATCGTCATCCATATCACCCGCCTGGGCTTCTTCCGGATCTTCGGCCTCCTCTCGGTAGCCTTTGGCGAACCTCGGTCCGACGAATCTCCTGCCTAGAAAGACGGCGGCGTGTCTGTAGTTCTGGGTGTGTAGCTTGGCCTTCAGTCGTTTGGCCGTCTCTCGTTTCATCGTGTCGGTGAGCTTCTGCGTCTCCCACGGGCCGTGCGAGTCCGCCCAGATGTAGTCACTCCATCCTTGACCGTACTGTACCTGCACCGACAGCAACTCGGCGAACGCCCGCACGTGGGTGAGATAGATGACCGCGATCTGACCCAGTTTCCACGGCAAGAAGCGTGGCACCATCTTGGGCATGTCGAGCATTGCTTGTGACTTGTGGTAGCTCGTCACCGTCATCACTCTGCCGTCCAAGACGAAGACGTTGCGGTGGTTGGCCACTCCGTTGCGGAAGCGCAGACTGGTGATCTCGGTTCCTCTGGCGGGCTGGCCGCTCAAGACGTGCACGCAGAATATGAACAGCTCCCTGAACTTGTCCACCCTCCGGAGATAGTTGGCCACCAGTCTCGACTGCCACTGGTCACCTCTGCGCATCTTCTTCCCCTGGTTCGAGCCTAGCATCCTCTTCAACATCCAGTCGAGACCTTGTGCTTCGAGATCCTGGTTCGGGTCGGCACCGAAGTACCAGCCTCTCTTCTTCACCGTCATGTCGTCGGTGATGCTATCGAGATCTAACACGAAGCGATCTGCCTTGCGGCCTGCCCACATGAGATCCCTCCACATGTAGTCTTCGCAATCGTCTAGAGCGGAGCGTGCCATGGACTTGAAGTTGTACACCGTGAACTCGATGCTGCCGAGAGCGACGCCGGCTCCGTCGTGAGTCCAGTGCAGCTTCCCCCTGGGCGTGGAAGTTCTTTGCGATCTTCTTTCCGTACGCTAGCAAGCTCAACATCTCTCCCATCACGCTCATCGATCCGTCGGCTAGAAACTCTTTTCTCTGCTCGAGAAATGCCTCGAAGTCGGCCTCCCCTTGGTTTTCGCGGTCGAGTGATGGGAGCAGAGCTTCGGCGGTCACGATCCTGGACACGTACACCAGTCCGGCGATCATGTAAGAGTAGTCGTTGCCATCGCGTAGCCGAGCGTTGGTCTCGTCGATGCCCATCACGGCCATGAAATGGATTAGAGCGCTGTCGAAGCGGTCGTTCCACACCTNTTTGAACAACAACACCCGACTGAGCTCTACCATCGCTGGGATTTGATCGTCTTCTACGGATGATGTGTCTCCCTCGAGAACGATCAATCTCCACACCTCCTCTAATGCTCTTTCGAGTTGGTCGTTCCATGGGAAGAGCCTCCGAGCATCGTGCATGTGATCTTGTGCTTGCCGTCTGCCTTGATCGTGTTGTGGATCTGTGTCGGAATTGTCGTCGTCGTCGTCGTCGTCGTCGTCGTCGTCGTCGTCGTCGTCGTCGGTATCAGTGTTGGTGTTAGCATTGTACACACTGTTTACCTCATCAGTGTTGGCGTTAGCATTGTACACACTGTTTACCTCATCGCTGTCGCTTTCGGTATCGTCATTGTTGCTGCCATCGCCACTTGACTCGCTGTCCGTGGCTTCGTGACGAGTGCACCATACTCGTAGACAGTAACAAACCATTCGCTTCCAGTACCCGGTGTACCGTTCTTGACTCTCTGGATTCTGCAACCGGGATAGCGGTCTCACGTCTGGCTTGTGCATCTCTGCACTTCGAAGCCAACGACGCAAGCCTTCCGGCATCGAGCTCAGTCCTGAGACACCCCTCTCGACCATCTTCTCGATCACCGCTGCTACCTTGAGTAACGCTTCTTCATCCTTCTCGGGCAGCCGGCTGGTGTACGAGAGATGGGTGAGATTGCAGTTCTTGAGATGCTCTCTCCATCTTGTCTTGTTCCACCATCCGGTGTTCTCGCATTTCTCAACCCTGTCTGCTAGTATCTCCTGCTCTTTCTGCCATTGCTCTTTTAACTTCTGGAAGTCATCTTTGATGCCGTCGAACTGGATCTGCTTGGCTCGGGGAGTGATTCTCCGACACTTGCTCTTTCCCTATCGATCTGATCGGGTGTCTTGACGACAAACCACTTTTGTTTGCCTGAACTCTTGCAAAACGTCTGGATGTAGACATCTTTCCAGCACTGACGGTCTTCGTCAGTAGATTTCCAGCCGTGTGCATTACGACAGTGTTTGCCGATGTTGGTACGGTCGCTGGTGGTGAAGCCGCAGTGACTGGGGGAGTCTGTTGTTGTCGATGCATCCCCTCGTACGTCTTGTTCGCCGGCGGTGTTGTCCTGGTTGTGGATGCAGTAGTAGCCTGGGATTGGCTTACACAGATACTCAATTGCCGGCTGTCCTGGCTCGGGTAGACGGACTGTGGATGGGTCTGGCATGTTGCGTCCGCTGTGATGCTGTCTTAGTGCAGCCCTTGCCTTCTTCGACGTAGAAGTGTAAGAAGTATGGACCAAGCGCAGATGGCTGTCTAAGCCTCGCACTGCGTAGCCGTGTTCCTTGCAGATGAGAACTTCGTGCTCTGCTAGATAGACGTAGTTCGACATGGCTGCTGCGATTTCTTGCTGCTCTGTCTCCTCAATACTGCCTTCTTGACGCGTCATGACTCTAGCTGTGTCGTCCTCGCCGGCTGGCTCTAGAGCGTATTCGGTCAACCGATATGCTAGCTCCATGTCTTCTGGCTAAATGCAAGTCGAGATGGATAATTGTATACTTTCTCTCTTGCTGGATCGTTCATAAGAGAAGCTTAGTGTACGTATGGAACGATGAATAGTGGCAAGAAAAGATAGAGCAGAGAAACAGAACGGAGCGAGAGATTCGCCGACGCGTCTTACCCTTCTCGTAGTGTCTCTTATCAGAGAGCTGTCGCGGAATACACACGCAGAACCTTGCTTGTAGCATTGTGCGACCTGTGGGCTGATCATGCGATAACTATGCATCTTACTTGCTGATGGTTTGCGATATCTCATGAGAATGGTCTAGCGGGACACATGTCTGTCCAATGGGGTGCGGGGGGCTAAGCCTGGGACGCCTCCACCCTTGTCAAATCTAATATATATGCTTCGCGTTTCCCCGCCACGCTCTTGCGTTTCTTCAGAATTCAGCTTAGCGTACTATCTTTCTCTTCCACTTTCTCTTTTCCCCCCTCTTTTTGTTATCTTACACCTTGCTTTTCTCTCTTGCGCGATTTTCCTGTCTTGCTCGGGCAGGGTGGATCTACATAAGTTTGGCAAAGAATCGAATAGTAGTTGTCACTGCAACTGTAACGATGGCGGGTGTGAAAAATGTCCGCACACGTGTTCTCTATCGACTTGAACCAAATTCTGTCGGTGCTGTAGCGACCGCGGATCTCCAGAACGATGTCGCTTCTCCACAGCGCCTTGTCCGCGACGCTTCGCAAGTGCCGTCAGCGGTGCCTCTTGCACCTCGGCCCTCTGCACTTCCCTAGCACGCAAGCGGTCGCCGGACCGAGCGCCCCTACGGCGTCTCAAGTGCAACGTCAACACCAATCCCTTCGAGCTAGAGCCGATGCTGGAGAGACCGAAGCTCGGCTCCAGATGATGTCGCCGGCCGATGTCGAATCGGAACTGCGCAACCAGAGACTCCCAGACAAGCCTGACGTCTCGATCTGGGACTATCTGAACAACCCCGGTCCCGATGTCTCACCTATACAAGCCGCGAGCGACCTGCTTGCTGCTGCAGCCGACCGAGCGGAGAGCGCTAGTGTCCAAGCTGCTTACATCTGGCGATGGGTGAAGATCAACAACCTGTGGGACACTCACCCAGACCCAAACCTTCGTAGTGAACAAGCTTTCATTAACAGTGTTGCTAATCACAAAGTGGTCAAAGTCATGGTCGTCGTTGGCACCTCTGCTCAATGGTCTAAAGAGAACCACCAGCAATCCATTGCTGAGATATGGGGCGACAACTGGCTTGATACTATTCCTGCTTCAATGAGACCTGCCGAGTCTGTCAAAGACCTATCTAAGAGAATGCTGAGTGAAGTGGCCATCACTAGTGCAAACGTGCCAGATCAGCAACAAGCTGTGATCGGTTGGCGTTGTGCTATTGAGAGACGTCTTGATCCTGCAAACCGTCCTCCTCGAACGCGAATCTTGAAGACTCGTAAGCTTATTCCAGAAGATGTCAAGTTCTTCAACAGTACCATGAATGCATCCGCCTCGAGCGTTCGGGAAGATGTGCTAGAGCTGATGCCTGTGGTCCCGACAACACCGCAACAGCAGCCGACTTCTGCTATCCGAACAAAAGACAGTTCCCGGAAGAGAAAGCGCATAGAAAACGATGATCTTACTATCGCCAATCCTGATTTGGAGCCAAGTGATGGTACAGATTGTCTGGATAATGGTCCTCAAGACGTAGCGGAAGCTACGAATACAGTACGCCGAGACGGCGAGTCTCGAATCAAGAGAATCCGTGGCCATCGGATCATTGAACCAGTCACTCCACCTTGCGAGTCTCCTGCTGCTGGCCTGTCGCAACTGTTAGATGAAATTCCCTTAAGCAGTTTTGATAACGAAGCGGTGACATCGGCTGATGGTTCTGATAATGCGACAACCTGTGATGGCCCTGAATTCGCTCGCATGTTTGCTAAATTTGCTGAGATCCACGCATATTTCGAGAAGCATGGCACCTCATCATCGAAACTTGTCCGTAACTGTTGTGACTCCTGTCGCGACTATACGCTTCGTGCCCTAGCATGTCTGAAAGCAGATCTTATACCTTCAGTGGCTGGTATTGAGCAAGTCAAAAAACATATATTTGGTGACCGGGAAGTGGTTCCAGGCCGGACGCTCAATGGGACCACTCAAGAACCTACTCCTCACTTGCAAAAATCTAAACGCTTGCTGCGAGTGGTTCAAGATTCTTCTGACGAAGAAACTGAAGAGTTCACTATATAGATCACAAATTTGACCATATATCTTACTCCCAGATCTTTGGTGTTAATGTTGTTGGGGTGACCTTGCATGCCTACAAGAAGTCGGGTGGAGTTGCGGGCGCAATTCTTGGCAAACTTCGAAAGTCATACTTGCCATATTTTGGACAACGATACTCAACAAGTCGCAGCCAGAATCAGAAATCTAAATGGTGCAATTGCCTTTGTATCATATTAACTCATCTCTACCATAGTTTTACAAATATTGAGTCGTGTTCATACAACTTACAAGATCGGGGTTCTACTACGGGTTCAACTTCACTTCTACCCCGCCAAGCGCCGAAAGCATAACCCCGCGAAACCCTTTTTAGACGGGCTGTAGTGCAACCCATGGATTCTATTAGCTAGGGTCGGTGAAAGTGTTGTTTGAGACTCTGAATACACACTCCATTGTTAGCGGTTGTCGGATTTATCTTGCTAACTGCTGAGTTACGGGCTATGGGAATATCCAAAATAAACGAGTAAAGAGAAGTGAAGAGTCTGGGATTCCTGGCACGGTGGGTGTATGCCCTCTACCCTACACCTTAAGCAAGTAGCGAGAGACACATCATGCAACCTCGGAACTCTAACGCGTCTATTACGCGTGATCCTGGTTGACTTTTTTCTTGCTTTCCGCTTGTGATATATCTACTTACCTTAGCTTTATGCATGTCTTAGCCCAATGGGATGGTGTTGTATCAGCCAAGTGCGGGATTTTCCCCCGCTTCCAGATATGAATCCTTGTCGGGTCCAAGCCACGTAGCTTCTGCGCTGAATCCCCTTATCTCTTGCCCTTTCCTCTAATCACTCCGTCCCTCCTTCCACATCGCATACCCTTATCTTGCTCATCCGACTGATCGCTCTGGTCAAACCTACCCTTGTTTCCCCGCTCCCCTCTTGTTCTTTGTCTCTCTCGCTCTCTCCACTGCTGTTCACTACGCGTTTTAGCAATGGCGCGCATCAAACACGTCCGTGCTCATACGCTATATCGCTTCGACCCTGGCACTTCAGAATGCGTCAGCTAAGTCTATTGGTGATGACGCTGTCGCCCAGCCTCCACCCCCGCCCCAGCCTCAGCCACAACTGCATCTGCAGCATTCGCAACCTCTGATTCCTGCTGCTGCTACTGAGAACGTTTCGCCGCCTGCAAGTCTCGAGATGATGCTTAGTTCGAACCCATTGACTGTATCGCAACAACAGAAGCGGTCCGGTCAATCGCTTTACAGCCGAGCGGAAGCGGGAGATGTGAATGCCCGGCTCCAAATGATGTCTCCTAACGAAGTCGAGACAGAGCTGCGTGCACGGAGATTGCAAGACAATGCGAACATATCACTGTGGGATTATCTCAACAATCCTGGTGGAAACGTCTCCCCCATACAAGCTGCAAGCGAGATTTTGTCTGCTTCTGCCGATGTAGCCGAAAATGCTAGTGTTGATGCGGCGTACGTGTGGCGATGGGTGCAGATCAACAGCCTGTGGAACACCCATCCCGATCCTAGCATGCGTAGTGAGAAAGCCTTTTGGCCAACGTCGGTAATGGCGATATCGTCCGGCTTATGGTCGTTGTTGGTTCGTCAGCACAGTGGACTAAGAAAACACATCTTGAATGGATTGCAGAGCACTGGGGCGAAGATTGGTATGACCAGATACCGGTATCTATACGACCTGTTGAGTTGGTGAAAAATCTCTCGAAACGGATAACGACCTATATTGCTATTACCTGCGCCAATGTGCCAGACATTGCAGAAGCTATTGCCGGCTGGCAAGCTGCGATTGACAAAAGAATCGACCCCACCCTGCGTAAGCCTGGCACGCGGCAGAAAAAAACCTCGAAATTGGTACTTAATGATTTCCAAGTCCTATAATGAGAGCGTAAATGCCTATGCAACCGGCATCAAACAAGATCGACTCGAGATGAAGCCACTGGTTCCAGCAGTTCCAAAATCCACACTGGCTGTCTTGAATAAGAGAAAGCTTGCGGCACAACATGGGACTGCTACTGGTAGAGAACCGGATCCCAAAAGACAGAAGCAACATGGCAAAAACAGCGAAGCTATTGTTGTTGAGTCTGATGGTGAGTCTGGTAAGTCTGATGATTCTGGTGCTGAACCCTTGGTAACCCATCAGACTGGTAATCATCGCATGAAAAAGTTCGTGGACATCGCATTATAGAGCCTGTCACACCGCCTCGTGGCTCTCCTGCTGCCGGGCTATCCCAGCTTCTGGATGACATACCATTGAGCAGTCTAGATCATGAAGCACCGCGCTCGTGGCAAACGAACTCCAATGCGGCAGCCTGCGATGGGCCTGAGTTTGCACGGTTGTTTGCCAAATTTACAGAAATCTATGAGTACTTTGAGAAGCATGGCAACTCGTCTAGTCACCTGGTTCGCAACTGTTGCGACTCTTGTCGTGGCTTTGCTTTGCGGGCATTGGCATGTTTGAAAGCAGACCTTGTTCCTGCTGTCGCTGGCCTCGAAGAAGTTAGACAGCACAAATTCGGCGAGCGGAAAGTCATTGCCAGCCAACCCCAAGACAAATCGACTGGTCAGCATTCTTCTTACAAGCGCGCATCTAACCGGTTACTCCGGGTGGTTCATGATTCTTCAGATGAAGATAATGAAGAAATAAGTATATAGCATCAAAATGCAGCTCATTCCTTATTCAATACTGTCGTCTGTTATTGGTGTTGGGGTGACCTGGTTTGCTGCGGGTCGTGGCCGCAAGCCTTGGCAAACT